AGTGTTTCCTGGAGTTCCAGTGAACCCGCTGGTCACATCAATTTTGGCGTCATCTGCGAACAATAATGATTTTGGCCGCAGAGCTTTTGGTAGGTCGATTATGAATGTTAGGAAAAGTAGCGGAAGAAGCACAGATCCTTGTGGAACCCCGCGGATAACGTCCATAGGAAAGCGGATCAGAAACACAAACCGATACCGTCCGATGTGGGAGAAATGCTTCGATCGAATCAAGCATGAAGCATTTATCGAGTTTCCACAGTAGAATTTCGTGGTTCATCTGATCGAACGCTTTTGAGAAGTGCAGATAAATAACGTCTACCATATCGCTGTCATCAACTGCTTCTGTTCATTTTTCTGGTGCGATGAGAAAATTGGTAGCGTAGGATTGCTTCCGTCGGAATCCATTTTGATTCGGTGACAGCCCATTGTGTCTCTCTAGGTGTTCCATCAGGGTATCTGCTACTATGGATTCCATGACTTTGGACAAGACTGGAAGGACGGTCACAGGGCGGTAGTTCGCGGGATCGCTACTGCAACCACCTTTATAAATGAATGAGTCGTTTCATTTCATTTGATCTTCGTGAACCGTTTTATGTATCGTTGAATCATTTCATAGACAAGTGAATTTTTGTACCGGTGAAAATGAATCTTCACCAAGGGCTACACCGATTGTAACTCCATTGGGATCCGATGGATAGACTCGAAAACTTATACAATAGTGAATCTTCTAGGACTCCCTAGACACTTCACACGTGGGTTCTTTTAATATCGGTTATAAATATAATGAAACTCAATTTGATCATAAATAAAATCTTTTAGTGCATCACAATCGACCAGTACTGTTCAAACATCTGCATCTCCCCCTAGAATGTTTGGTCAAACAGAATACTCCATAGGTCTTTCGTCAGAGGGAAATATTCTCCGCAGAATTTACTCCATGGTTGGAAAATACTGGCATGACCGAAACTACGCGTGTTCGGTAGCGTGAGTCACGTTTCCCGTCAGTTTCGCTAAATGTACCAAGTCACGAATAATTTCTCACTAGATCTAAGTTTCAAAGTTACTGACATTTCCCCCGCGTTGCGGTGTATCCCTTACAAATTATCCCCTATTCATAAATCACAGGAGAATATCTTAGACTAGCGTATGTCCATTCTGTGATGTCTTATAGAACGGGTTAACAAAACTTCCGTATTTCACTACCGGGTGAATACGAGAAGTTTGCAGACACCGGCTGCGCTGAAGGAGTTTCCGGGTCAGCGTATTCCCAAAAGAAATTCAAGGTTTGTGACTGGAGAATGCACACATGGAACACACGAAGTATACACTTTTCGGGCTAAAAAACATGTGCTATCCATGGAACCAGTATAGTCAATGGTCTACTGCATTCTTATGCAAATTATGAAAAGCTGCGGTTGATTCTCCACGATGAAACTATGACCGGAACTATCGATCGAGTACCAATGGAGCGGTGGTTACGTGCTTCAATCCCTACAACTTACCTAGACAACTTTTATCATGAACTGGTCACTGAACTGTGCCTAAACGGTTGGTTTGACGATTGCGACTGATCGATGCAGGACATATCACGTGATCCAGTCCGGTAGATTGCCATTGGGTTGAATTGTTCCGACAGGTACTACACTGGACAAAGACGACAAAGACTCTTCAGCCGGTTACAATAATCATACAGACAGCCATGAATGAGTATTTAACGATGTAGTATTGATCCACATTTGGTGGTAGTATAACCTTGTTGATTGTTGGTCTTTCGATCGTTTGTGATTCAGTCGAGTTCGCTTCTAATACTAAAGCAAAACGTTGATTCTAAACCATAACTTCTGAACCGCGCTTTCAAACGCTTATGTACTATGATGGAACGGAGGTGAAAATTTTTCACGAGTAAAATTGGTTACTCTTGCGTAAGCTCCCTTACCCTGAGCAGTAATATAACGATCCACAAAATGTTAATTAGGACTTAACCATTATTCGTTGTTCAATTAAAAAGGATGTTTCAAACTTTTGAAATACATAGCTGTTGCAAATGTCAAAACTATCATAATACCTCGGGGGACGGCGAAGGAGGCGGTTCCAAATCTCATGAATTCCACTGAGGCAATACATGCGAGTCATTCATTTGATCAATATGATCAGAAATTACCTGATCAAATGCATAAATTGTCAAGTGTGGAAATATAAGTGATTTAAGATAACAGGATGATGCGGATGGAAGAGGCTGCTTATCAAAAAACTATTTGCTGTATTAACTAGACAGTTGTTATTCTTGTTGTCACCGCTTTTATTTGCTTCCATGGCTGATGATGATCACTGTTCAGTCGACCATAATTCGGATATAAAATACGATACACACGGTCACGATTGTAGTCTGTACATCAGCCATACAGACTCTGCATATGTCGTTGTAAGTTTCATTGATGCTATATGAAGATAGACCCATTCTGGCCGGTTAGATGCTACAATGAAAACCAGGATACTATTGATCACGTGTGTGTGTGTGTGTGTGTGTGTAATCAAGTCGCATGACACACCCACGCACATGCGATTGCATTAACCGATCACCACAGGCTGTCATCAGTTCGTGGCTGTCAATCGGACAACCGGTCCGTTTTTAGTCGTTCCGGGCGCATTGACTTCACCAAGGAATTATCGATGTACGACGCTCGTTGGGTGACGCTGTTCGTTTTTTCCATCATCCTGTTCGCTTGCAAAACCAGTGTTCAATGCGCTCAGCCAAATGACGGACGATGGATGTCAGTTGCTGCCGCGAAACGTTCCTCCGTACGACAGTCACGGAAAACAAAATCCAGCTATGAAACTTGGACAAAGGAATGTAAGTGCACTTACCATGGATCATAATCATTATGTGATTAGTCTGAGATCACAACCAGACCTTTCTTTGCGATTGAAGGTATCGTGGTATCGATTTGTTGTTCGCGTAGAGGACGTAAATCTTATATTGATGCCGGGAAAATTTAAATTGAGAAAAAGTGGAACATCAACTATGTGAATATTCTGAAAAGAAGGGTGTTTTATTTACGGAAATTTTTTTTTATTATCTGTAGTATAAGCTAAGTGATGTGATGTACGATCTTTATAAAAGACAAATCCTAGATGAAACGGGAGCGGACCCGACCACAGCGTTTCTTTCTTAATTCAAAATGACAGTTTCACAAATCGAATTGATGGTTTCTCAAATCAATCCCAAAACATGTTTAATAAACAATCGAGAAATCTGATAAGTTCATCCGGGATTTCTTACTTAATGCACCGGAAACCGTCAGCACAATAAACGTAACAGGACCGATGTTCAGTCCGGCAGTCATCTCACACATCATCTCTGTCCCGAATTAGGGTCAGATAAAGCGGGCGCCAAAGCGGAGGATGCGGTAGGCGAAAAATGCCATGAATTGCGACTGACCGTGGAAGGCTCGTTGGGTGAGTTTTTCACGTGACACCATTGTCCTTCAAATTCTGTTTTGCGATCAGTGGCGCCGGTAAACTGGACAAGTACCACTGATCTGATTCTCTCCCACAATGTTGCATTTTTTTCATCAGTCATGGAGAAAGAACATAACAATGACCTGATCTACATAAATCTGAGGAGCTTTTCTTGCTAAGCAATCCTTCTCAAATTGAATAGTTATACTTCAAATTCTGTTGTGAACTACGCTCGTTAACCCAAACAAATCTAAACGCCCACGCAAGACAGTTCAACTAAAAAAATATTTCCGTCATTCTATTTTCGCATTAATTTGATTGACGGAAAAGGTGCATGTCCGAGAGTAGAAAATATCATACGGTCCTCATTCCTTTTATTTCAAATATGTATCACCGTCCTAAAACTGTCATAGTGCAACGAGAAGGCGAGCTGGCCGGGAAAAACGTCTATTGATCCAATTCAAAAGCAAACGGTGTAGGCATTCGATCATATACAATCAATTCTCGACCGCTCGGCGGGATGATTCATGCCTCTTTCTGTGGGTCCTTCCTTGTTGGTTTTGGTCCGCACTTGGCACGTACGTTGCCCCTTCTTCCGCGTGCCATTCCGACTGGTTTGACCCGATCGCAGTGTGTACGTTGCCTCTTCTTCCGCGTGCCATTCCGACTGGTTTGACCCGATCGCGGCGCGAGATGCGTTGATCGACAGCTCCGACGTTGTGGCATTTAGTGGGTATCTTTCCCGTTAGCTATAGATTGTCTGTCGGGCTGTAATTGTCGAATCACTCGTTTCGGGTGGCAGTCAACATTGTCTCTCGAGGCACTTCCCGTCGCTGCGTCTGCGCGTCTGGTCGGATGAGCCCCATTCTTGATGCGGTCGCTAACCAGTTGTACCGCCTTCCATCACAATAGGCTTATAGGTATGTATTACAAGCAATGTTACCCCCAACCGACATAGAGATAATATTAGAAATAAAACAACCTCGAAATGAAAGAGGTTGAACAAAACAGTTCTACACTTGCAAGTTTACTGTCAACTACCTGATTATTTCATTTCTGTTCAAAAAAAGAACAGGGACCAAATGAATGAGTGAAGAGTATTTTTCCAGCTCGGATAATTCCAGAAAAGAAATCGAGTGCTCGAATCGAATCGGCAGTCAGGTAGAAATTGTGTATGTGTGTTTGTGGTATTCGAGGATTTCTATGGGAGATTTCTCTCCCACGCATTGCGGGATGAAAATCACGCCGCTCATCAACGAGCACATGTGCGGGAGAGTGAATGCACCACTGATCGTTGCCAAACATTGTGTTCAGGTCTCTTCGAAAGGATCCGAAGAACAATGTGGTATTAATTTGAACTGCCGGGCAATGTGCCTTAATAAACTATATGACAGCACCGCAATTCAAGAATATGAAAAGACAAATGACCTATTTTGCCAAAGCAGCATGGCCATGGGGGAGGGAACCTACAAGCATATCGTCAGTTGACATAAGGGACTATTGTCGGCATAGTCGTCGCGAGACAGGACTGAGAGTTGGCAGAAAGGTTGTTCACTGAGGTGTACCAAAGCAACACCTTACAGAACTCCAGATTCATTATAGGGGCTTTGTTGAATTCTCAACAACTGTGCTCATATCGTGAAAAATAGTCTACCAGTCACATAGGTAGATTCTATCGAAAACCGAAGGTTTTATGTCTTTGGTGAATAGTTAATCCAAGGAGGGATCAAAAAATGAAGAACCACATTTATATAATGCAGCAGACACCGTATCGCGCATGTGGAGTAGAACAGATTCCTTAGTTAGTGAGCTGGATGCTAACGAGACTGCGGGATGCTAACGGAGTAATGAAGGCGAGAGATAGAGGGACAATGACACTGAGGGAAGTCTAAGTTCGAGTGTAGCACAATCCGACGGAATAGCTTAAAAAGTAAGGAGGGATTAACGGTTTTAGGACCGAAAAGAGCACTTGCCACCCGCAAACATTTAGGAATTGCACCTCGAGTTTTGAGGTGCATTCAGTAAGGATGTCACCACTCCAACGAAGACATGGCTACCCTGTTTGAGGATGTATCGAGATAAGCTTTCTGCAACAACGGTAGTGGTAAAATGGTTGACTGTGGGAGCTCGAAACTCACTCTTGTGTAAAAACAGTGCGCCGGGAAGTAGATCGATACCAATACAAAGCTCAGGTTTGAATGATAATGGTTGAATGAATGTGGGATTCACTTTACCCATTCCCTCAGTATTTATTGAACAGATCAGCTTCGGTCCACTTACTGCACAGACGCTTTACCATATACGTTTAACGTCATTATCTCCATCAGTTTGTCCCACGAAGAACGTTAGATTTCTCACGTAATCAGGCCGACACAATATCTGAAAACCGGGAAATATTGTTTTTTTCTCAAGCAGTCTCATTTTGTCTTCTGTGTCGTTTTAACGGTGAGAATTTGACCCCTCGAAGGTAGCTAAAATATAGATGAATCTCGTTGATTAAATTTCTTGATAGCCTCACAGCACTGAAAAAAAAGAAAAATTAGACGAAGGACCGTAAAGGGCATAAATAGTAGGGATTGTTTTGAATTATCATTGTGATGGAAGGCGACAGTGTACTTCTCTGGTTTGTTCCGGTTGAAGAAATGTGCCATAAATAGTACGGGAGTGAATTTTGCGTCTGGCTTGATTGCAGCATTTGGAATACTGGCAGATCGACCATCCTGATCGCAGCCATCTAGTATAGAATCTCCCGGTACCGAGATGCAGCAGGAGACCATAAAAGTAGCCGTTAGTTTATTGATCGATAGCCCAATGATGAAATACTACTTACTAAAAAAGGTATTGATCCGGGTTTTGTCACCCGATCAGCGATCTCATTTCTACAGCTATGAAATCCTTATATACTTTAAACCACCGGTTCCTTATTAGTTGCTGTAAAAATGTAACCCATCGCTAACCGGCCTGCGTTATCTTGGAGCGTTTGTTCACCATATGAATAATGAGCAATAATTACTATATACATTTAACTCACAGTTACTTGTGGGCAGTATTATGAGATAATTGATATTGGTTGTTTTGAACTAGTCTAGTGCTTCCGAGTGTTTGGTTGAATCGATGAACTGAGGATTGTGCATGAAGCTGAAGTTCGAAGGATTGTCAGTTCAAATCAATCAATATCAATTATCCCACATTACTACTCACAAGTAACTGAGTTAAATGCGAATAATCAGTCGAGCCGGGTAGGTATGTGGTAAGTTAGCCCGTAACCTGAATGGAAGTTCTGACTTGATGAGAGGCTTTCGGTTAGAGTTAACAGATTGTCATCTGTGTCTCCGTTCGCTGCTTTCGGGCCAAATGAACTGACTGACTATTACTGAAGACGACACATGAACAAACATGAATTGGCAATTCGGTTCAGCCATGGTAGGAGCTGGTTGGCACAGTGGTAACGCACACGTCTTCCATGCGATGGGTCCGGGCTTTAAATCCCGGACGGGACGGTGGATACGCACTACTGATGAGCACTGATAAGAGCGAAACTCGAGTCTAGTGCGTCCGAGTGTTTGGTTGAATTGATGAACTGAGGATTGTGTGTGAAGATGAAATCCGAAGGTTAGTCAGTTCAAATCAATCAATTATTATATAATTTTTTGTTTTGTTTCAGCGATAATGTAAAAACGAATCAAAAATACCTGAGAATAATTCCCAAATATATTGTGATCGTTTGGTTGGTCAAACCGTTATCCAGATTGGTCAATGAGGGAGCACATAAACATGCTACCCTTCTGAGTTTACAGACGAATCGTATCCTCATGGTTCGCGCATTAAATGAAATAATACCATTTTATAGGAAATAAAGGGATTTCAGTCACCTAGAGAAAATGCTGGACAAAAGGGTCTTACCAGCTATCGCTGTCAAAAATTGATTGATGAAATCTTGAAAAGGAAAACCAATATCGAAAGTAGCTGTAGTTGATTTATCATCTCAATCCCAAGTGTAACTTTCCCCACCAAAAAACTTCATTTCGCGTTTATGACCATCCCCCCGGAATCGCCATTGTTTTTTACCTTTGGCTACGCGTAGCTTAACCGTCTGGCCTTTTGCCGAACGGATACAGCCTTATCGATCGTTCGGGCCACGTTCAGACTAGAACGAGACGTGGTGGTGGTTGTAGCCACGGCAATTCGCATGAAGTCCAAATACTGGGACACTCGACACATCAATACCGCATTTCAGGTTTGCGTTGATTTACTGTCGCAACAATTCAAAGGTACGCGTTTGCTCCTCATTTCACTGTCTACCTTCTGTGCCAGGGCAATAATGCGATCACAGCGCGTTCTCCAGTACCGTCCGTGATTTTCTCTGGATCACGCAAGATCGAAAGCTATGGCCAGGAGACAGCTGCAGAGGCCGTGTCCGGGTCACGTGACAAAATGCGGCTCGTATGAGTTCTCTCGTTTTTGCACACCGTAGCACAATGCACGGACCATGAGGATAAGACGCGTCCGTAAACACAAGCGTCGGATGTTTGAACGCTCGCCCATTGATCAGTCTTAACGCCAGTCTGACTAGCCAACCACATGAAAATTGTGTGTCATTCTGAATCGCTTTCATATCCTTCTGCAGGAAAACAACTAATGATACAGACAGAGTTAAATTTGTCCGCGACACAACCTACCCGAGATGGTGGCAGGTGTAAATCAGTCCGACCAGAAGCTATGAATCGGTAAAGAGTTGTACGGCTGAAGTCGATTACAATTAGATGGAAACTGTCACACTTCGCATGGGGTGGATTGGGTAATAAACAATCGACGGCAAGTCCAGTGTCGGATGTAGAGGTAGAGGAAGTAATGAAATGTTAGTAACAGTAGACTATTCCCAATGTATGATGTTGGTTGGAAAACTGATTGCAGCAGTAAACTCAATGCACCAAGTATCAACAGTATTCGGTTTTTCTGGCGTAGCAGGTAACTGTGGCCTACTCGGTTGATTTGAGAGAATCGGAGACATTTTTCTTCGGTAATAACATAGC